TGTGTGTGTGTGTGTGTGTGTGTGTGTGTGTGTGTGCCTGCCTGTATATCTGTGTGTATATACATGTGTGTTCCTTAGATGTTCACCTTTGTGGTGCTGGGAATCAAACTCAGCGACTTCCAATGTTAGGCAAACTCTGGAAACGATTTTTTGTTATGTCCAGTTTTAAAATTTGGATCTAATTGATCTGGGCATTGCAACACACTCCTATAAACCAAACAACTCAAGAAGCTGAGGCAGGAGGATCACCAAAAGTCTGAAGCCAGTCTAGATTACACGGGAAATTCTAAACCAACCTAGGCCACGTTGTAGGCCCCTTCTCAAACAACAATGACAAAAATGAACCCAAGCTCGTGCAGAAGTCAGCCTACAGTGACTGTTGAAAGTGCATGACCCCAGAGGTCACTGTTAATGCCAAGGCAGGGGCATTCCAGCCCAGGCCTGGGTCCTTTTTGTGATAGCCATAATGGCTCTCCTGCCTTTGCAGTTGCTTCTCTTGAACACACGTGTCCCATCCGTACACAGCCTTCTTCATACATGTTAAAAAGACTCTTCTTAAATCAAGGTTTTCAAGTGCTGGATGTGGCAGTGCACATCTGTTATCTAGTATCCGATCCTGGAAGGAGGAGTGTCAGAAGTTCAAAGTTAGCCTCAGCTACACAGTGAACACAGCCCAGGCTACATGACATCTTGCTCAAAATACCAGATGAGGGAATGAGTGGATGAATGAATGAACAAACCCACTGGATTTTTTTTTTAATAGCTGCCACAACCAAGTAGTCCTTTTAAGGAATGAAGAGCCTCTTTGCAAACCACTGAGCTGCCTCATAGACCAGTGGCCCTCCAACACTAATACAGCCCTTCCCTCCTTTGGCTTTCAGCCCGAGACAGTGATGGAGCTCAGGAGGACGTAGCTCTAACTGCACATGGTACCCCCATTCAGCTGCAGGTAAATGTGCTCCACTCATTCACCTAGGAGGACATGCACACATCTCTCCTTAGGGTCTTCAGGCTCTGCGTCCAATGACTTTACAGACCCAAGGGAGGACAGGCAGGGTAGGCCAGCCTCAAGCCACACCAGGATGGCACAGGAGAGGCCTCTTTTAGCCTCATTTTAAACCCAGTGAGTCCCCTTCCCCACCAGCACCTCACTGTATTTTTCCCAGGAAGGACCAAGTCATGCATGAGGTCTGTATGACATTGAGGAGGGTTGGTTAAGTCTTCCGGTGTCAATGGAAGACTCTAAATAACTTGTGACTGTTGGCTCTGTTTTTAGTGTCGGCCATCTAAATCCATCCCCTGCACCCTCAGCTTCCCCTGTGAATCACTGTGTAGCCCTGACAGCCCTGGCCATCCTGAGAACAGGGCTGGGCCTCATCACCATCTGCAAACCCAGATGGATAAACCAATTTTAATCCTTTCAGGCAAAAACAGAGGGTCCTCTACTGAGTAGGCTGGACGTCACATATCACGCTGGACACATTGAGCTGGGATGCCTTAAAGACAGTCAGCTCTGGAGAGCCCAAAAATACCACCCCGGGGAGAACCTCTTTCTCTGTGGGGACCGCAAGCAACTGCATTCCAAGATTAAAAGCCAGTCTTCGATCACTTGTTCACTGAACTTTATAAGGCAACCGGCTAAGCTCAGCCATCTGTAACTGAGAATGTGTGTCCCCCTGAATGAGACTTAGAATACGATATAGCCATGTGTCATTTACTCTAGTTAGCCTTGGCAGAGGAGGGTGGGAGTGGGGATGAGGAGCTTTTGCACAAGAGGAAAAAAAAATGTTTTTATCCATTCCTGCAAAGAGTTTCTTGGGTGTATTTCAAATTCCAGGAATCAGCTATTCAATGGCCTTGCCTATGCCCCCAACCCCCCAAAAAAATCTTATTAATGACCAACACTGGCACCTGATATAAATAGGTTTGTATGATGGTTAGTTTCCACTGTCAACTTTACACAGCCTAGAATCACCTGGGAAAAGATCCTCAAGGAAGGAGTCTACGTTAACTTGGCTTATGACCGTATCTGCAGAGGATCGTCTTAATTACTTTATGTAGTGTGGGAAGATCCAGCCCACTGTGGGTGGCACCACTCCCTAGGCTCCTGCCTGATCCTGGATCATGTAAGAGGAGAAAGAGTGCTGAGCCCATTCATTCTCTGAGCATGGATTCATTTCCGCCTGCCTTTAATCTCGGATGTGATGACCAAATTGTTTCAAATTCCTGCCACCTTGACTGCAACCTGGAGTGAGCTAAAACAAACAGTTTGACACCTGAGTTACTTTTTGTGAGGATTTCTTTTCTTTTCTTTTTTTATCACAGTGACAGGAATAAAACTAGGACAATTTGGTAGGGTTTGTTTGTTTGTTTGTTTGTTTGTTTGAACTAACAAAGAATTAAATGATAATGAAATGATAATATTTGCCTCAGGAAGTTGCTAACAACATCCCTTCCTTCCTTTCCAGACTGTTGATCCCAGCAAGGAGTATCTCATCCCACGAGCTACACTAAGCCCACAGCAAGATGCAGAATTATAAAACTACCTGAAATAAAACAGGGACGACTGGAAGACTATTCTGCTCAACACAGCCCTGGCAGGCCTAGGAGAGCCCTGGACACATTGTCAATGAAGTGTCTGTCCTGTCCCTCTCTCTCTGTCCTCTTGGCCTTTCCACCCTTCTGGACCCATCCTCTGAAGGCTATCATGTCCTGCATAATTACAGTCTTGCTGCCACCCTAATCACTGTGTCTTTTGCATTTTTTTAACCACAGTTTTTCAATCTTAGCAATGCCTGGAAGAATTGGTGTCTCTTACTAATGGGACTGAAATAAACACCTCATTGTGAAGAAATGGGGGGTCGTTCTGACGTGACAAAGCATAGAGATTTACAGCTACTTGGAACTGGATTACATCTCTGCTGGTTTTTCAATTATACGAAAAACCATGCCTAATCAATGCTACCATCTTAAGCCCATTTAAGGGTTCAGTCCAAGCCCTTCACAGTGGCACATGCCTGGAATCACAGTGCCAGTGATCTGTAGCTTTGGTGGTAAGAAGTTTGTCCTTGGCTGCAGTCAACCTGGGATGAGTAACATCCTGTTTCCAAAGTGGGGGGGGACAAAAAACAGCTCAGTTCAGCTCAGTACTGTTAGCTACATTCACATTGTAGTATTCAAAAGGCTCCTAGACCTTTCTCATTCAGAGAAACTGAAATTTTCCACTCACTAAGTCACAGAGTCCCTCCCCACCCCCACTACTGGCCACCGCCATTCGCCTTTCTGTGAATTTGACAACTCTAGATGCTTCCTATAACAGAATCATACTTTCTACAGTGTTTGTCTTTCTGTGGTTGCCTTATTTCCCTTAGCCTAGGAGCCTCAATATCTGCCCATGTTATATGTGTGGGTACTTTGGAGTATTTTATGTGGCTGTATGTAAAGCATGTTTTTACGGTATCTGTAGAGCCAGAAGATGATGTCAGATCCTCTGGACCTGGACATACAGGAACCATCTGATGTAATAAGGACTTGAACCCTGGTCCCCTGCAAGAGCGGCGATTGCTCTTAACTACTGAGTCTCTCCAGCACCACCCCCACCGCCATGTTGTATTTATTTGTAACGGGATTCCTCTGTTTTGTTTCCTGAGGTCTGCTTGTTTGCTTGTGTATATAGTGTCGGGGCTGGGAGGGGTGTGCATGTAGAGGTCAGAGGGCAAATGAGTGTCAGTCATTGCTTCTATTTTATTCGAGGCGAAATCTCATTTGCTGTTTGCCGCTGTGTAGACCAAGCTACCTGGCCCACACGCTTTTTCAGCTCTTCTCTGTGTGCTTCCTACCTCCCAGGAGAAGCACTCGATGGTTACAGACACTGCGGCCATGTCCGGCTTTTACATGGATTCTGGGCATCTAAACTCGCATTCTCATGCTTGTACCCCAACACTTCGCCCACTGAGTCATCTTCCCAGGCCTGTTTTGATTTGTGGGTTTGGTTTTTCTTTTCTTTCTTTCTTTCTTTGTTTTGTTTTTGAGCCAGGGTCTTATGATATAGCCCAGGGAAACTTCAAGTCCATGATGAACTTCCTTTCTCAGCTGCCAGAAGATTTCCTTCCGTTTCGAAGGTAATTAACATCGCTTTGTACACCTATGACCCACTTTCTAGGCACAGAAACTCTGTCATGTGGATGTATGGGTTACTTCTGGCCACTGTGGATAACGCTATAGATGGCTCCAGAGTATCTTAAATTCTACTCTTTTATCTGTATCTACAAGGGAGATTGCATTACCAGGTAAGCATTTCATTTCTAAGTATTACATTATTAAACTTTAAATGTATTTCTTTGGAGAGGCTTAATGTATGACCTGCTTATGGAAGTCAGCAAAAACCTTGTGGGAGGCAGTTCTCCCTTTCTTCTGTGTGGGGTCCTGGAGCTCAAACTTATGTCATCAAGCTTGGAGGCAGGTCCCTGTACCCACTGAGCCATCTTGCTGGCCCCATTCTGAACTTTTTTTGTAGAGACATTCTACTGTTTGCTGTTTATGTCTACGCCATTTTATGTCTGTCAGTCATGGCAAGAGCATCCCAGTATCTCTGCCTCCTTGACAATGCTTGTTGTTTTCTGGTGGTTTGACATTCACAATGGCATCCTAGTGGGTGGGGAGTGTCTATCACTTTGCCTCAAGCACCCTTTGAAGGGCTGAGGAGTGGTGCAATGGTAGAGTGCTTGCCCAGCAGACACAGAGCCTTAGGTCTGATCCCCATCCCTCTCAAGACAACCTAAAAAAAAAAAGGGGGGGGGAAAACAGAGGAAAGAGGGGGAGGAAAGAAAAAAGAAAGAAAGAAAGAAAGAAAGAAAGAAAGAAAGAAAGAAAGAAAGAAAGAAAGAAAGAAAGAAAGAAAGAAAGAAGTAAAGAAAGGAAGAAAGAATGAACGAGTAGGATGGACAAAGGGATGGAGGAAGGAATGGAGGGATGGCAGGCAGCAGGTAGGGGAGATGGCTCATCAGGTAAAGACACTTGCTGCCAAGCCTAATGAGTTCATTTCCCCCAGGGAACCACACAGAGAAAGGAAAGCACCAATTCCACACTGAGGTATAGCCCATACCCATACACACATACACACACAAATAAGTAAATGTAATTTTGATTATAGAGAGCTGGGTGTTGGATTTGGATTTGGAATTTGAAGCTAGCCTCAGAGGGAGTTCCAGGCCAACCAGGGCTACATAGCGGAGCACTGCCTCAAGGAAGGAAAGAAAGAAGGAAAGAAGGAAAGAAGGAAAAGGAAGGCTGGGAAGGAGTCAAATGCTGATAGACCTAGAATCTTCTATAAAATGGTAGCAGAGTCCTCACAGCCACAACACTGGGCAAGATAAATAATATGGACTGTCCAGCAGGTGACCCCCCCCCCCACAGTGTTGCCACCCTGGCACAGCTAGAGCCGAGAAGGCAGCAGGCAGACCTGCTTCCATGTGCCATCAACAGCTGTTGCTCACAGAGGGCATCAAGCAGGGACCGAGAAAGGCTGTCTGCCTGCAGAGGCGCCTTTGATGAGCTGCTGTCTTTTACTAATCGCCTTGCCTTCGTGTCTAACACCGCATTCTCCCAATGGTTTCATCTGTCCTTAACTTCTTATAGGCCACAGGCACAAAAGGACCAAAGCCAGGGATATGCGCCTGACCCTTGGGGATTGAATGTGGCCCCTTACTTTGCAAAACAGAAAGCAGAACTCAAAGAAATGGGATGACTACTCAGTAGTCTTAAGTGGTGGGTCTAGGCCACCCCACCTAGAAGGCCTCTCTATGCCTCTCTTTCTGTATTAGCCGCTTAGGTGTGAGCCCCTGAAAGCCAAATGACATATTCAGACCTATGAGTGTTGAGTATCTATGTGACGGCACAGTGAAAAAGAACACAAGCTCCAAGTGTGTGTGTGTGTGTGTGTGTGTGTGTGTGTGTGTGTGTGTGTGCCAGAAAGCTCCTTTCATGGCCAACATATAGCACAGTTTGCTCCCTAGCAACAAACATATCCTGAGCATCTTCGAGGAACTAGAAATAGTTCTAGGACTCAAGCCTAGACATGGCAGACAGCGTTGCTTTAGCAGGGTGTGTGTTCTTGTGGAGTAAATGACAAAGTAGAGATAACTCCAGGACATTGCTTCTTCATTTCACATATGGAGAAAAGGGCCTCAGCCCAGGGAGTACCTGTCACTAGTGGCTGAACAGAGAGAGAGAGAGAGAGAGAGAATCTCAAATTCTAGTGTACTTGGGGTCAGGGGTCAGGTATGAGCTTGCCTGTGTGCCAGGACACATGTAAAGGTTAGAGAACAACTTTCAGCAGTATGTTCTTTCCTCCTACAATGGGTCTCTCTCTCTCTCTCTCTCTCTCTCTCTCCCTCTCCCCATAGGGAGATAGGGTAGCTACGTACCAAATCTGACAAAAGGAATCAAAATTCTTTAAGGAAACAAAGATATTTGGGGGCTAATATTCTCTTAAGTATAAGCCTTAGGAGAGATGGCTTCCTGCTCTCACGGAGGGCACGTTTTAGGTTCTCAGTAGCCACTTCAGTTCACAACCACGTATAACTCCAGCTCAGAGGGGATCCCAGCACCCCTGGCCTCTGTGGGCACCTCCATTCACACACATAACTAAATAAAATAAAGCGTCTCTAAGTCCTTTTCTTGGAGCAGTTCATAACATCTTAACGGGCCAGCCCAATTTTCAGCTCTGGTTTCTTGTGAGGAATCCTGGCAGCCACTCTTCAAAGACACAATATTTCAAATTAAGCTGTGCTTTATGTGAGATACCTCGAAACTGTCATGCTCAAAGGATGTCCAAGCAGTTCTCTCAGGGGGTGCAAAGATGCTCAGTTGCTCCAAACAAAACAGCATTCAGGGGCTAGTGGGGCAGCTCTGGGGGTAAAGGTGCTTGCTGCCAAGGCTGACAACCTGAGTTCAGTCCCAGAACCCACATGGTGGAAGGAGAGCACCAACTCCTACTAGGTCTTCTTTGACTTCAGATGTTCACAGTGGCACACGCATCTGTGCGGAAAATAAACAAAAGATAGAACTAGGTTTTAAACCAGCGTATTGAATATCCTCCATGAAACTGACCTCCGAAGTATCCCAAGAAGCTCAGTGTGATCGGGTCGCTGTGATGTCCTCTAAGAATTTATTTCCTTTTCCCTGTCTTGTTTCTTTTTAAACGTTTTCAGTTATCCTTTGACAATTTTGTACAAGCATATGACGTATTGCCGTCAAAGTTCACGCCCTTCTTAACTTTTTCCCAGTGAATTCTTCCTTCTCCTGCTTTTCTTTTTCTTTTCTTTTCTTTTTGTTTTTGTTTGGAGACAGGGTTTCTCTGTGTAGTCCTGGCCGTCCTGGACTCGCTTTGTAGACCAGGCTGGCCTCACATCAATCAGCCTGCCTCTGCCTCCGGAGTGCTGGGATAAAGGTGTGCACCGTGCCTGGCTCTCTTTTCTTATTTACTACCCACTGAACTTAACTAGTGTTGCTTTCCTGAGCGTGGGCATGGGCGTGGGGT